GTACACAAAGCGCCTCGTTATGTGTCAGGCACTGTGCTAGGAAACAGCAGTGGGCAAGGCCGGGCACAGCGCCCGCCCTCATGGAGGCCCAGGTCGAGCAGGGAGAAACAGACAGTGAACCATGAGAATTACAACCAGGCGAGGACCACAGTGAAGGTGACACTCTGTGCCAGTGTGACAGGTGGCAGGCAGGGACATCCCCCGGAGCCATGAAGGAAGTGCGAGGGTTCCAAGAGAACAGGAGAGCACAGAGAGCAGGAGGGCCTGTGTCGGAGCCGGTGACAGCTGGGAGCAGTGCACTGGAGGAGAGGAAGCCAATGTGCACAGAGCAGAGAGGGGAGGGAGTGAGGTGCACCGGGGGCCCGGGGTCAAGGGGGGGAGCCAGAGTCCCTGAGAATGGTCTGCGTCCTAATTGCCACTGAATCATCTTAACGGGTGGTTGACATGATCAGATTGCAATAACAGGAAGATCACTCTGACTCTTCTATTTGGGATGTGATGGCAACGCCTTGCCCTTCACTAAATACTGTGTGTCCCCTTTGTGAACAGCTCAGGGCCAAGGGTACAAAGCAGTGTTTCCTGTCATTAAGAGGTTAGCCTCTGAAATCTGCCAGACCTGGGGCAAATCTAGGCTCTAATGCTTCCAGTGACCTTGGGCAAGTCATTTACATTCTCTGAGTGAGCCTCAGTTTCCTGTCTGTAAAACAGAACCCTTAGCATCTACCATTGGAGGGTAGCTATGAGGAGTTAGTGCAATGACGGTTTTTGGAGTACTGAGCACAGGGTCTGGCCCCTGGTAAAGTTAGCCCATTTACTTATATTTTTATGAAGCACCTACTATGTGCCAGTGGCTAGGCAAGGAGCTGAAAAAGCAATAGTGACTAAGCAAAGTTCCTGGAGCTTCTATGCCAGAGGAGATGACAAATAAGAGACAAATAAATAAGTTTGTAAGATAATTTCAAATAATGACAAATGGCAGAAAGAAAAATTAATTAGAGTAAAGGGAAGAAGAGGAATAGGGGAGGGCAAACTTAGATAAAGTGGTCAGGGAGGGCCCCTTGGTGGAGGTGACATTGATTAGAGCTCTGAATGATTGAGGAGGAGGCGTCTGCAAGGAGAGACCTAGAATAAACATTTTCTAAGCACAAGAAATAGCAAGTTCAAAGGCTGTAGGATGGGAATGAGCTTGTCATCATCAAAGAATGGCAAGACCAGTGTGGCTGGCACCAAGAATAAAAACCCTGAAGGTGCCCTTTCTTGAAACCTGCTGTACACACCTAGATTTAGGAGGAAGGTACAGCGAAGGGTTTCCATCTGTTGGTGACTATGTTTATCTCCTGGTCCACAACCTAATGAACGAGCGTTTAAGCGTTTACTCAGCTGGGCGCTTTAAGCTTCCACGCTGTCCTCCAAGAACGTGCTTTCTCTAGGATGGTGAGACTAAACCGGACAAGATGAGATTATTATTAGGTGTTAATGGAGCCTAGAAGAGAACAGTCAGAGGGGAACTGGGGAGCAATCAGGGAAGACTTCAAGAAGGCGGGGAGACCAAGCTGGGCCTTAAAGGACAGATTCATAGACACAGAGAGAAAGGCAAGGAGAACAGTGAAGGGAAAGGTGGCAGGTGGGCGGAGGAGCTGACCCAGGGACAGTCCCTGGGGCAGCCAGAGTGGGGAGCCCAGGTCTGTGAGCTGTGCTGTCCCCACCCGGCAGATGGAGTACTTCGGCACCATTGGCATCGGAACCCCCCCTCAGGAGTTCACCGTCATCTTTGACACCGGCTCCTCCAACCTGTGGGTGCCTTCAGTCTACTGCTCCAGTCCTGCCTGCTGTGAGTGCCCAGGCCTGCCCGGGCCCCTGGCACCAACTGACCTGGGAGCCCCGAACACTCAGGGGCTTCAAATCAGTTCAGTTTCAAGCCTGCTGGAGCCACTCAAGGGATTCACTCAGCAGGCATTTGCTGAGCACCTACTATAGTCCAAGCACAGGGCTTAGGTGGCCTGGAGGACAAAGGGGTGACTCACACATGGTCCCTGCACTCAAGGAGTTCAGGCCAGTGGCAGAGAGAAGTGGGCTGGTGCCACCAGCGCTTGGCTGGGGCATCCTCAGGGGGTCGGTTGGGGACCTTCCATCAGTGAGATGGTCCCAACTGGTCTAACCAGACAGAAACGAAACCTGCAAATTCTTGGGCTCCAAAATCTAGGGTAAAGGTTACCCTTCTCCAAAGCACCCCCCCAGCCCGAACCCAGGCACCCACCCCAGGAAGACAGCTCCAGGCCATGACTCTCCACCAGCTTTCGGAGGTTGACAATGTCACTTCTCGCCCTCGCAGCCAACCACAACCGCTTCAACCCTCAGAAGTCCTCCACCTACCGGGCCACCAGCCAGAAGCTCGCTGTTGCCTACGGCACCGGCAGCATGACAGGCGTCCTCGGATACGACACCGTCCAGGTGAGCACCTGCTGGAGGGCCACCTCATCCTGCCCAGCCATGGGGCCAGCTTCCAGGGACCTTGGGGGCCACCCAGAATCCGCTCATTTAAGCAATAGGGGTCTCGGTGATTACAAAAGTAGCCTAATGGGGGGATGGGAAGGGAGAAGTGGCGGAGATGGGCAGACATTTCTAGATGGGGCAGTAGTGGGTAAGGGGGTGGTGCTCGGAGTCTTAAGCCAACCTCAGCTCCACCCAAGCTGAATGCTAT